CAAATAAAGGAATCTAACCCCTGATCTTTTCCTTCTTCCAATTCTCCTTCTTCAAACCCTCAACCTGAGCCTCCTTGATCAAATGTCGCATGTTTCTCAGGCCTCCGCCGAAAAGTGACATTCTTCTTTATCAGTTGGGTCAAAGGGACCATAATCTTGGAGAAATCCTGAATAAATCTCTGATAATACCCTGCTAACCCCATGAAACTTCAAATCTCGAATGGAGACATCAGAACCTCCCACTTCATCAATCTTGGCCGGGTCGACTAAGATGTCGGATTGGTTAATGAGATGACCCAAGAACTAAACCTCGCGCCACCAGAACTCACATATAGAGAACTTTGCAAAAAGTATCTCTCTCCTTAAAGTCTCGAGAACCTCTATCATATGCTCATCAGGTTGCTCCTTTGTCTTAGAGTAGATCAAAATGTCATCAATAAACACAATCAATGATCGGTCCAACATCGGCCTGCACACCCAGTTCATGAGATCCATTAACGATGTCGGTGCATTGGTGAGCCCAAAAGGCATCACCAAAAACTTGTAGATGCCATAACAAATCCTGAAGGTCATCTTCTTCACATCTTGATCCCTGACCATTATCTGCTGATAACCATACCTCAAATAAATCTTGGAAAACCCATATGCACCCTGTAGCTGATGAAAGAAATTGTCAGTCATCAAGAGTGGATAACGGCTCTTCATCGTCACCTTGTTCAAATCCTGATAATCGATAAACATGCGATGAGACCCATCCTTTTTCATCACAAATAGAATTGGTGATCCCCAAGGTGAACTACTCAACCTAATAAATCCCTTTGTAAAACAGCTCTTACAACTGTATGGATGACTCCTGCATCTCCAGTGGTGCTAAGCGGTGACTTGGCTATCGGGGCCACACCCGGAACCAAATCAATCTGGAACTCCACATACCTCTTAGGAGGAACTACCAGCAAATCCTTAGGAAACACATAAGAGAACTCCCGAACAATAAATTCATCATCCATAGTATTCTTCTCCATAACCCGAGTATCCATAACATATACCAAAAATCCAAAGCATCCCTACAGAAGATACCTCCTAGCCCTCGCAGCTGAGCAAATAGTTGGTCCTCGATGAGTTCCCTCACCATGAATAACCAGTTGTCCCCCACTTATGGTTCGAAATCTCACCAACTGATGCTTAGAATCAATCATAGCCCATTCTGTGTTAACCAATCCATGCCCACAATATTATTTGTCCCTCGCAGAGGAATAAGGACCAGATCTATCAGATACTTCTCGTGGAATAACTCTATAAGGCAACCCCGATGAAATCCCGGAGCTCGCACACTATTGTCATAAAAAATCTCCACCCCCAATGGGGAATCCAATTCTCCTGAAGCGTCACCAGACTTCTTGTTAAGCGCAAGAGATACAAAAGATCGAGTAACACCTTAATCGAAAAGAACTTGAGCAGACAGACCATTAACTAGAAACATCCCTAATTATAAAGAAATAATACATAACCACAATTAATTAGAGAAAGAAAAATATAAGAGGGATGCATACCAGTGATAACATCTAGTGTTGCTCGGGCCTCCTCGGCCGTGAACTGAAAATCTCGGTTCTTCGCCACCGGAGCCTCCGCCTTACCATGGCGGACATATGTGATCCTCAAGGTACCTGGAGCGGTTTCCACCACCACTCCTCCTGATAACCTCGGATAGTCGCCTTTTGTGGCCCGTCTGATTGCAATGAAAGAAAATCAGATCCAATCCCTGAGGACAATCTCGGCTAATATGATTGGTCTTACCGCACCTGTAGCAGCTCGAACCCACTGATTGACAGAATCCATCGTGCGATTTACCAGACTTTCCACAACGGCACGGCCCTGCTAGCTTCTAGATCGCGAATCAAAAGTCTTGGGCCTCTTCCCTGGGCCCTCAGCTGCCTGAAGCTACAACTCAATATCCCGCTCCTGAGCCTTGTCTGTCATATCCTCAAAAGTCTTGCATCCCAAAATTCTAACAAACTCCCTGATGTCAACCCTCAACATTGTTGGATTTGGTGTCTAAGCCCATAACTAAAATTGGTATATACTTGAGTTGATAGTAGCACAATCCTTTTGGGTTACCCTCAAACCTAGCAATTGGATATGATGACTTTTAGAGAGAGAGATTAATTTATTATGTGAATAATAAATTACATAAATGGTTTATTAATGTGTTATGAAAATTATATATTAATTAGAAATCATATTATTTAATTAATAATTAATCAAAAAAATAATTGGAATTAATTTTGGGATTAATTGGATTAATTAAAAGTATAGGGACTGTTTGGTTATTTATTGATAGTTGAGGAAGGAAGGCTCTAGAACCTCATGGAATGAGGTGGACGAAAATCATCTAGGGTAAGGCCTAGATGATTTCGTCCAAGGCCCCTTGGATAAGGGGGGTTGGGCTCCTTGGTCACCAAGCAAGGGAATCTAGGGCTTATCCTTTAAACCCTAGCTTTGGCCTCAAGTATCTTCAACTATATAAGAAACCCATATCCCTTTGATTTCGTCCACTCCTCCCCTCTACAAGCCTTGGATGAAAATTGCTTCTCTCTTCTCCTCTCTCTTATGTTATCCTCTTGCTAGCTTGGGTGTGATTCCATTAGAGGCACAACATTTGTGGTGATAGCTTCCAGAAGATTTTCAAAGTGAATTTCTACACTACTAGAAAACAGCCATTTAATGACGCACAAACAATGACACTCGCTTATAGAGGACGCGCATTTGTGCGTGCCCTAAAAAATAATGTCAGTTTCGCAAAATTTGAAGGATAGAGGACACGCATTTTTTGCGTGCCCTAAAATTAATGTCCAAAAGAAAAAAAAAATACAAACACGGAAGGCGCTTATCTTTAAATATGTGTCATCTACAAGTGTCGCTTTATAATTTTTGTACTGGGGAAAATAAAATCCTCTCAAATTCTAAAATTTTGAACTACCCCGCTTCTGCTTCTATACTCTCTTCTCTGTATCTCTCTTCCTTCTCTCTGTAAACCCTAAGCCATCGCCACCACCATTGAACCCTAAAAACTCAATCCACACTTCACGTCTTCTGTGATTCTCTCCTCTTTGGCTCTCTAATCTACGATTTCAGTCTGAAAACATCTATCGACCTCCCTGCTTTGATTAGAAACCCAAAAAATTAGAAAATGCCACATTGTCGAGCGTGTTGGTGTCGGTGCTCTGGTGCACCTTGTCACCGTTTTATAATTTTTCCGACCCTTTAATTTTAGCAAACCCAACGGAACCCTAAGTCTTGCCTTTTACGCTTTCACATCTTTCCTTCCCTAATCGGCTGTATTTAATTCACTATTTGGGCATTTTGGTAAGAGCGTAACGATTTCACTATGCCCATGGCAAGTCTCACAAATTCTGCCATGGAAGCAGCTGCTCGCTCGTTAGCTTCTAACGATTGCAGTACCATATTCACCGCCAGTCACCATTCCTTTCTGAGCATTGTTAGGGTTAAGTGATGGAATGGTGTGACTCGTGCTCTCGCAACTGAACCAAAGCCCAAGGAAGCCGATCCTAGAACGTCAAGAGCCGTCAAAATCACTTTTTCTTCATTTCAAAATCTAAATGATTCTAATTTTGCTGCCGACGATGTTGAATCTCCCCTTGTAGAGGTCTTATTCGCAATCCATCCCTTTTTCTTCATTTCAATCAGTTCTTAATTTTTATAAATAAGAAGTTAGAACTGTCAATCGATATGTACATGTATAGATTGTGAGTTTTTTCTGCTTCCTTTATTCTTACTTCTTTGTTTTTTTTTTGTTATGTTGATCAGAATGAAGTTTCTCGGGCAATTGAGTTGAGGAAAATTGTAACCTCTTTGGGTCCTGCATACGTCAAACGTGGGCAAGCATTGAGCATTAGGCCAGACATTGCCATGGCACTTCTAGAAGAGGCTATGGTGCTAATGCCCTGACTAATGTTGGAACTCTTATCATGCTTTCTTTTCCTTCTCTTTCTTCATTATGGTAATACTTTTGGACATGAAGAATAATTCCATGACTCTTTTTGCTTTCTGTTTTTAGGCGATTGATTGGAATCAGAAGAATGATGACCTCACAAAAGTAGTATTCTTCACTTGTCGCTTTCTAAGTGATGCACATCGATACATTTTACGCTGTCTAACCACACTTCAATGTGCTTCCCAGTGCACTATATACATATCTATCTCAGAGGCGCTATTCTATCATTATATCTTTCCTTGCTATTGTAATTATTTGAACTTATTGATGCTTGCTCTGATATCTTTTTGATAAAGACGTGAATTCCCTCCTCACCCTCATTATTAAACTTGTTCCATCACGTGTAGTGTAACAAATGCAACCTTAGAGTACCAGAATCCCATCCAACTAAGCAAACCCTTAAGTTTCTTTCTTCAATGATCCCAAATATTAGATATTTCACAACTTTTGATAACTTCACCTGATCATCATCCTTTCTGCTTTTATTTCTTATTGTTGAATGGACTTCAATTTCAATCTTTTCTCTTGCTATTGCAGACAGGTCACTCAGCTTACCTGGATTCACCTTTAGGACCAGATGGTTATCATGAATATCAAATCTTACTTGTCCAAGATTACGAGGAACTCAAGAATAAAAAAAATCAAAACTCTATACACAAAAATAGCAACAAACCTAAGGAGAATCCCATCTTTGAAGATGAAGGGTGGTTGCAGCTTACCCCCCGTGAAGCTGATACCCCTAAATCCTAACCTTTTTCTAGTTCTAAAGATAGTTATGATGGAGGACCTAAATTGATGGCTTATGTTCATCAGTTCCCTTTGATTCTATGCCCCTTTTCACCAAAGTTCTTTGTGCTACCATCTGAAGGGTCAATTTCTGAGGCATATTTATCAGGTGATCAAGAGAATTCAATTAGTTCAGAGCTCACAACTTCTCCTATAGCAGCAACCTCACTTGGAAAGGTGTATAAGGGTAGATTAAATGAAAATGGGGGATTTGGTTGCTGTTAAGGTACAAAGGCCTTATGTACTTGAAACAGTAACTGTTGAGTTATTCATCATAAGGAACTTAGGATTGGCTCTTCGACGTTTTCCTCAGGTAATATTTGTCAAAATTCAGCTCCACATAACATGTTCTATTTTTCTTGATTATCTGAGGCTAGAAAACAAGTGCTTAATGTTATTTGACTATTTGTTTCTTTCAATTTAAAGATATCTTTGGATGTTGTTGGGTTAGTTGATGAATGGGCTGCACGTTTCTTTGAGGAGCTTGACTATATTAATGAGGGTGAAAATGAAACATATTTTGCAGAGATGATGAAAAAAGACCTTCCACACGTAAGTTTTTACCCTTTAATCGAATGCATTTTATGTCATTTTGGTAAGAATTAAGTATTTAAGGGTAAAATGGTCATTTTAGTCTCTTTGAGACTGTTTATTCAATCTAGAGAAGAAACAGACCTAATAGAGTTGAGTTACAGGTTTCCAAAAAGAAAAGTCTACTGAACAAGCTTTTAAAGTCTACTTTGGAAACAAGGGTGTTACATGAGAAAGAAAGAGTATCTAGATGAAATGTTAATGAATTTGAATCTCAATGACTTCAATCATAAAGATTAAATTACAAAATTGGTTGTTTATACTTTTTTTCATTTATATAAATTACAAAATTGGTCCTTCTGCTTTCTGATTTTACCCACTTTACTCGAGTGTTCATGTATATCCAGTTTGTTGCAGAGACTAATGATATTGGAGGAGGAAGAAAAGAATAGAGTAGAAACTAGGAAGAGGTGGAAATTTAGGTCGACACTCAGTTTTTTCTTTGATTATATACAAGTTATTCATTGATTATATCATTGCAGTTTGAGTTGATTCATAAAAATGTTTGAAGAAATTTCTTCAGTTTCATGCTTGCAGGTTAGTACAGAACCCTGGTGAATTTGTAGTGACCTTTCCAAGGGCTTATCACATAGGATTCAGCCATGGTATATTTATACTTTTATAGACATTAATACCATATCTTTGAAAATACCCCTACAGAGATTATTTGCAGTTTGAGTTGATTCATAAAAATGTTTGAAGAAATTTCTTCGACTTTTATGAAATAATGCTTCATGTTTATGTGTTTTCAATTTCATCAGTATTTTAGTTTCTAATCATTAGTTGTTTCATTCCTACTACCTTTTTAAATGCACAATAATATATTTTTTTAATTATTATTTATGAAGGGGAATAGCAAGGCACTGCAATTACCTTGGAGATCTGTTATTGGCACAATCCTTCAGCTTACCCTATGGGATTAGGTAAATTTGCAACAATTTAAGTTTATTTCTTTATTATACCATTCTACTTAAATTTAAATTTATTTGTTTTGACTTGAAAAGTCAACTACTGTATATGATATTATAATATGAAGCATGTGATTGCAGTTCTCCAGTTCCATATTTTTATCCAATTTATCTTCTGATTCTGCTGATCTGGCGAGAGAGAAGAGACGAATCCAGATGTGCACAGATTTACAAAGAGGTGTGGGCAGAATATCGCAAGGCTGTTTGATGGACAACTAGTGTTCTTTGTGGGTAAGTGTTTGAACATTGATGCAACAAAATTTGAGGTTTTATTTCTTGTTTGCAATTTGTATGTTTTGTTGATTTTAGTGGATAAAGACCTTGTAGTTTGTTTCGTGTTATGGAAATTGTAACATTTAATTTGCTACATTTTAAAATAAAATGTTTGGTTATTCGATAAACATTTATACTTTTATAGACTCTAATATCAAATCACTGTCTTTGAAGGTTTTAATTGTGGGGAAGCTGGTAATTTTGGAACCCCAAAGTGGCTTTCAATGGCTAAAGAGGCTGCAGTGCGCAGAGCTACCATGAATTTTCTTCCTATGCTTTCACATCAACAGCTGCTTTACCTGCTTACCATGTCATTTATTCCAAGGTCAGCTAGAAATCTGTACAAGTCTTTTGACATATGAAGCTAGAAAGAGTTATTCCAAATATAACAGGAAGGGTAAATTGGTAATATTCTTTAAATGTATTTCAATGGCAGAGACATTACCATGTGTAGCTTGTGGTGTTCTTGGTTATCCTTTCATGTCTGTTATACAACCATCACCAGAAGTGTTGTTTGATAACATGCCAATGAAGGATGATGCCAAGGATGAGTCTCTTGAAGCTTCAACATGTTCATCTAAAGTGAATGTTGACAATGGATGGAACATGAGTAATGGGTATTTAAGACCTAGAATATTCTGTTTAGAGCATGCAAGCAAAGTTAAAGAGTTGTTGGACTCCATAGGTGGAGTAAAACTGCTTATAATATGCCATTCAGGTCATCATTCACAATTTCTGTTTTTTTCTTTTTTCAATGATTGCAACTAACTTATTATATGTTGTTTGTAGTTTTATAAAAGAAGCTTTTTAAAGAGGTTAAGTGGAGAAGGTAACAATATGTTTGTTTCTTTAATGAATAATGAATCCACAATCTCCTTGCAGCCTTTTCCTCTACAAACCAATTCTCTTTTTGATAGTCATGCAAATGCACATCTTGGGGCATCTAGTCCTATTAGAATTGGAAGTATCCCAAGGCACATTAATATACATATTCATGATGGTAAGTTAACTCAATTTGCCTTCACATAAGCTATCTATATATTCTCATATGTATCTTTTTAACAGGAATAGGTCCAAGGGCAACTAATGTTGAATCATCAAATCAAGCAAATGTTGATCTTCTAATGTTGTTCTTTTACAATGTTGTTCTTTTACCGATGGTTGGAATTGGACCTAAAGTTGGTTGCTGATATAGGAATAGTGGGTGCTCCAAATGCAGGAAAAGCATCTTTTTAAGTGTTATTAGTGTTGACATGCAGTGTTGTTTGACATGTAATGTTAGGTAATTTGTTTGACATGTGATATTTTTTTAAAATAAATTAACATTCTTATGTATGGTATTTTATTTTGTATTATGATAATTTCAATCTGTTGTTTAATTTGAAAATTAGTAATTCTATCAAATATATATATATATATATATATATATATATATATATATATATATATATATATATATATTTAAAACATTTAAAATTATGACACGCAAATACGTGTCATTTTCATTTATGACAGGGGCTTTAATGATACGCAATGCGTGTCCTAAACGCGCGTCGTAAGGTTACGACACTCAAATGCGTGTCATCTTCCTTTATGACAGGGCCTTCCTTTATGTGTCGTAAATGCGCGTCATAAATAGACGACGCGCAAAAGCGTGTCGTCTCTCGTTATGACAGGGCCTTCCTTGACACGCATTTGCATGTCGTCTGAGCGTTTTATGACACGCATTGCGTGTCGTAAAAGGCTGTTTTTCTAGTAGTGCTAGTTGTTTGCTATAACAAATAAAATGTATGTAATCCTAAAATTCTCTCCTCTATTTTTTGAAAATATCCTAGGGTTTCTAGGGTTCCTTTTGATGTTCTTAGCTATAGGTTCAATAGAGAAAACATAGATTCTATTTAGGTTGCATGAAAAGTTAAGGGTTTTATTTTTGTTTGTTTACCAAAATCCCTTCAAGCATATCATGGTATATCATCTTCTTCATCTCTCCATCTGCAACATACTGCGGAACCAGCAAAGCTCTCTCCCTTGACTTGGCGGTGATCTCCGCCACAGTCTTCGTCGTCAGACGTAGATCCTGAAACTCTCTCGCCAGCTTTTGCACCTCGATAGCTGGCGCAAACGCAAATCTAAACCTGGTAACAAAATATGTCTAGTTCAGGGCCTCTACGGCCTCCGTTCCAAAAGCATGACCAACCTCGTCCCACCAGTCACGAGCTCCATCCCTCAAAAGGCAAGATGTAAACCTTACCCTCGATCCCTCAGGGCTGAAACTCGTCTGCTAAGTGCTCTCCATGTTTGCAATCCACCATCTGCTGGCAATAGGGTCCTTCTTCTCAAAGAAATTTGGGGCCCCATGAGCTTTAACCTCCTTAAAGGTGAGAGCGTTTGCCCCAAAATGACATGCTACTATCTCTGCATGAAAGGCCCATAAGCGCTCATCCAGCAACTCCATAATCCCCTCATTGATGGTACCGAACATCACAGGTAGGGATGAGAGTGGGTCCAAACACGGACCAATAGATCCAGACCCGGAAAACTCGAGAACCGGTTAATGGGATATTGTAGGACCGGAAAGCGGACCGGTATATAGGAACGGGTTCCGGTTCGGTTCCGGGTAAGGTACCGGGTAAAGTGGGTCTAGAACCGGAAAACCCAGAATCATTAAAGTGGGTCGGGTGGAACTAGGTAAAGTGGGTCTTGAACCAAAAAACCCGGGAAATCCGAAATTTTTTGGTAATTACTTAGTGGTTGAACTTTGCAAATTTTCAACTTTGATATCCCAAATTCTGGGGACTTTAAGTCATTGAATATTAAACCAAAAATAACAAAATTATAGTCTAAAATCATGTACAAACTCTAAACTACACATTGCAAAAAAACCTCATGATAATCCGACTTCAAACGAATTAGATATGCACTTTTAAACTTTCAAAAAATATAAAAATAATGTTGAAAAATAGAAAATTCACAGCATTGATATCCCGACTTTGGGGGACTGTAAGTCAATGAATATTAAACCAAAAATAACAAAATTATAGTCTAAAATCATGTACAAACTCTAATCTACACTTTTCAATAAACCTCATGATAATCCAACTTCAAACGAATTAAATATGCATTTTTAAAATTTCACAAAATATAAAAATAAAGCTGAAAATAGAAAATTCACAGCTTTGATATCCCGACTTTGGAGGATTGTTAGTCAATTAATATGAAACGAAAAATGACACAATTATAGTCTAAAATCATGTACAAACTATAAACTACACTCTGGAAAAAAACTTCATGTCAATCCGACTTCAAACGGATGAGATATGCATGTTTTAAACTTTTCATAGAAACCGGCTCCGGCCCCTAAAACCGGTTCCGATTCCTAACACGGTTCCGGTTCTTAAACCGGGTTTACCCGGAACCGAAGGACCCAAAACCTGGATTACCCGGAACTCGGATAAATCCATTCTTTAAACCCAGGACCCGGACCAGTTCTACATATTTCGGTTCTAACGGTTCCGGTTCCGGTTCCGGTTCCAGTTCCGGTTCCGGTTCCGGTCCAGTTTTCCGGTTCTAAGTCCCATCCGTAATCACATGGGTCGCATCAATTAGTTCGGCATCCACACCTGAGCCGGAACTAGTACCAAAAACTCATGTAATCACCACCATACTGAAAGGCAACCATACAAAAGATTAGAACATACTTGATAAAATCCCTCATGTTATAAGCTCCTTAGAATTTCCATGACTCTCCTTGATTCAAGTATAAATTATGTGCTTCCAGTAGTACGGTCCCAATACTACCTTCCACACCTGTCTGTACTTTCCTCAAAAATCATCATGAATCCTCTAAGTCATTCCACTAGGGAAACTCTCATAAATCCTATGCTAAACAACATACATAAATTACTGTAACATCTATTTTTTTAGGCATTCGTTTTAACCCTTGAGTTATGCCCTAATTGCAATTTAGTCCCCGATAGTAAATTCGTAATTTCGGAGTTGTTGGAGTACGCGGGGCGTACACCCTCATACGCTAAGCATACTCCAGAACGCCTTAGAACAACATGCATGCGCGGGTACACAGGGCATACGAAGCCAGGGTGAAACCCCTAAGTTTTAGGGTTTTAACCCTATTTAAACACATTTATGGCCTCATGCACCTTCTTACCCTTAGCCTCCCGCCTCATTTCGAAACCCTAAAGAGTTTTTGTGCATTTTGAAGCTTGTTGATCCATTTTTGGTGTCATTTGGAGCTTTTGGAGTAGAATAAAGAGCATGGAAGTGGTGGTGTTTCACTCAAGGCTTTGGATCTAGCATTTAGTCCCCCTTGTGCACCTTGTGGAGGTAAAAAGTTTCAAACTTGATGAAGAAATATCTTGGATCTAGTTTTTGATCAAGTTGTTTCCTTTTTGGTTCCAAACTTAGTCTTTGTGAGTAGAAGGTACTCCAATGCATTTGAGTTGTCTTTTCGGAGGTTTTAAGGGAAGTTGAGTCAGAAAGTTGGGTTTGTGGTCACTACTTTCCCTCGATGCAAGTGCTAAATGGTCTTAATGGGTTAAGAGACTAGGATTATTGGTTTTAAGGACTTAATGGTCATGCTAGACCATAAAGTTGGAAACTTTATGGTTTAGAGCATCTTATGTGACCTAGATCTGAAGTTTGGACGTAGGTGCTTTAGGGATTAAGCACTTATTTAGGAGGCTGGCAAGCAGCCTCGTACACAGGGCGTACCGAAAAGTACGCTGAGCGTATGCGGTTAGCGCCCCGATCCTCAGTCAACTGCGAGGTACGCCCCGTGTACACGAGGAGTACGCCCCGCATACTGGCTGAGTCAGCCCGCTTGAATCGGTTGACTTTGACCTGGATTTTGACTAGGGTTTGACCTAAGGGTATTTTAGGTATTCGAATGGTAGTCTGAGTTTTGGTTACTGTTGTTCATAAAGGTGACCGGTAGTGAGGATTTCAGAGCAGCGTGTCAGTTTAGCTTTTCATCTTTTTGTGAGGTGAGTCTTCCTACCACCTTAAGTAGGCCAAAGGCACCAAGTCCGACTCATTATATCGTATGAGTAGAAGTGTATGTTATCGTATGATTCCATTTGTGTGTTTTCAATATTTATGTATTGAGCAACATGGGGTCGGAGTCATTACGGACTCGTGGTTGATACGGACCCAGGGGTTGATTCGGACCCGACACAGCTATATGTTGTTATTTTGGGTTAATACGGACCCAGGGGTTGATACGGACCTGACACAACAACATGTTGTTATAAGATATGTATGATGTATGTGGTAATTTGGGAAGCTCACTAAGGTTTATGCTTACAGATTATTTTTATGGTTTTAGGTACTTCCAGTTCAAAAGGGAAGGGCCCGGCGTGATGGCACAACATCCTCCCCACATGATTTCCGCACTTGATGTATTTGTACTCTGATGTTTTGGAATACTGTAATGAATGATGGTTTTGATGTAATCAATGAATGAAAACTAATGGCTTTGACCTAATTAAAAATGTAAATTTTACTTGGTATTTTTGGGATGTTACAAGTTGGTATCAGAGCCTTGGTTTGAGGGACTCGGGCACACTTTCGGGTGTGTCAGAACTCAAACTGAGGAAATGATAGTTTTCTTTAATAATAATGAATTTAAAATTTTAAAAAGGGTTTTATTTAAGAAAATAGGGGTGTGATGCGTGCGATCGATCGAGCTCAAGTAAGTGGTTCCCAAATTACCCAATTTATGTTTTCTGAGTAGTACGTTTGATATAAGAGTTGTATGCTAGAGTAGGGCTAAGGTGTGACAACCTGAAACTTTTTCCGTTATCCTTACCCAGTTTCCGTTAATAAAACTTGGGTTTTATTTAATTCCGTCAAATTCCTTAGTTTGGGAAGGACTTCACGTTTTAAATAAATTAATTCAGATTTATTTCCGTTCACATTAGTATTATTTTTGGTCTAACGGAATTTTCTAAGTTCAGTTCAATCGAGTTTTGGATTCAAAAACGAGATTTTCTAGTTCAAATCATAGCATCCGGGCCAAACAACCCTTCGAGAGGAGTTTACGGTCGCAAACTCAGTTTACGACCGTAAACTCTGTTTTACGACCGTAAACCCTATTCACGGCCGTAAACCCTCCACCTCACCTCTTGGCCGTAAACTCACCCCTATATAAGGGATGAGTGGCCTTCATATCTCA